GGAGGGGCAGCCGCTGGAGACCCGTCCTCCCCTCCCCCCCTCCCCTAGCCCGGCTTGGGGGTCCCTTCCCCTCGGCTCTGCCCCCACCCCGGCGAGGGGCTTGTCCTTGCCACTAGCGCCCCCCGCCCCTTATCGCTGGATTTATTTTGCGGGGTGGCGCGGGGCTGAGTCGGGCTTGAATCCTGGCGCAAGGTAGGTGCCGAGGCAGCTCCCAGGCTGGCCACTCATTCCTGCCGGCTTTGGGGTCCCCCCGCGGGGGCAGCGAGCACAGCAGGAGCCGTGGGCGGCGGCACGAATGCCCAGCGACCAAGGCACGGGGTTAGGTTGGAGCCTCAGGGCAGGGTTAGCGGGAAGAGGCCCTGTTGTTAGAGCAGTTTCGTCTCTTTCGGGCAACGCTCCTTCTACATTCGTTGCTCTTTCCGGCTTCCAAACGCCACCTCAGTCTAGCTCCTGATTTGGGTGCCTACTGGCTGCCCAAGCACCAAGCTGCTTTGGGACACGGTACTGCAGCCCCAGCTCTGTGCGCCAGAGCCACCAACAAATCCCCCTTTACCTGCGCTCGATGTCACTGTAAGTCCAAAGAGTAACAGGAATCCCAGCTCCATGAAATCCAAATGGCAAGCTTGTCAACGGCCGGCAAAGCTGAGGGGTGGGGGGAATGACTTTGTTCCAGGAGCAATCACTCCAGGCTGGAGGCAGGGGAAAATCCTAGGTCTCGCGGCACACTCTGCTGCCTACAATTAGTTCCCACACGGAGGTGTGCTCGGTGCTTCTGGCTTGTTAGGGGTTTTTTCTCTCCCACCCCGTGCAGATTTAAATCCTGAAGGGCAGAGGGTTGTCAAAAGAGGAAAAGATCCATTGCTGCACTTTTCCCACACCCCCCCAATCCGATCAGAAACTGGAGCTGTTGTTTTAAAGCTGCAGTTGCCTCCCACAAGAGGACAGCTGACTGCTCAGTGTGAGTGTATGTTGAGGGTTGCTGTCACTTACCCCCTTGTGGTTTCCCAGGGCTTGCAGCCTTGAACAGGTAGAGAAAGGGAGGAGGCACAAACTGCCCCCTGAGCATTCCTTTCACCCCTCCCCCATGTTCTTAACTAGCTATGTGACTCTTAATCCATCACTTTTGAAAGAGCTGGTCCTCTTGTGTAGGGGCATGGTTTCAGAGGGGTCAGTTGTTTTTTATGGTCAAAGCACTATATTGTGACTCAGATTTGTGGTGTTTTTTGTTTCTGCCACTGACTTCCTGTATGACCTTGGGGAAATCATTTAGGCCCCAGATCCACCAAGTACTTAAGCTCCTATATCTTGGATTTAAGCAACTAAATCGGGACCCATGATGTCCACAAAACTCCCTTTGAACTCTGTAGGCCCATCAGTGGCTAAATTTTCAAAGTAAAAAATTCATTAGGTGTCTATTTTTCTGCCTTGGCATAAGCACTGCTGCCTCACTCTAGGCATCCAGATGCCTATCTCCCCGCCACATGCCAGAATGATTCACAGTACACAAGAAGACAGGCATTCATTTGTCTAAGTTGCATGCAGCTCCCACTCTGGTAGACATGGGCTGTCTGCCTCATCGGGTACCAGCCAAAATCCAGCTGGAGGGAGAAGAGGTGGTTCTCCCCCCCAGCCTACCCTGCCCCCACTACCACTACCATTTTTAACTGACAGAGAGGGAAAACTGAGTCTAGGTCTTCCACACTGATGCTGAGTGTGCTAACTGCTGGGCTAAAGGTTATAACTTGGTATGGAACAGGGCACAGTGACTAATGTATTCCTGAAAGAAACAACTTGGGCACCTAGCCACCACATTCCAGACAGCTGGTCCCCTTTCATGGATTGCTAGCAGAGATAAGTGCCTCCCTGCAACCTACATTTAGGCACAACCGGATTAACCCTGGTGCCCAACTTGTGGCCTTGCTACTCTTGGCCTTCCCCTCCCTGCCCAGGCCCTGTCCACCACTCACATAAGGAGAGGGGGTGGAGAGGAATGAGTGATGGATGGGGAAAGTGTAGGCAGAGTGGAGTAAGCAGTGGGAGAGTCCTTGGGAAAAAGAGGCCAAGCAAGGGAAGGGCATTGGGGGAGCAGAGTGGGGTGGGGAAGGATCACATTCTGAGCACCAGGGCCTCTTCTGAGTGTGGATCCAGTACCATTGTAAACACAGCTCTGCATGTAGATGCTATTTCCAAGAGAGGAATAGGGTTTAGGACACATCCCTCTCATCTCCATCAGGAAGCTAGCTAAGCCAGCAAATGTGTTGGCTTTTGTGGATTGAATTGTAATGTGCCTGTGTCTCACCCTTCATTACAGGGAGCCTAGGCATCTAACACAGGTTTGTGGATCATATTAGTGCCTAATGCAGTGATCTTGGTTGTGGCCTTTATATGATTCTGCAATGAAAAATATTAAATAATAACTGGTCTGGGGACAGTCTGGGGATGGGAAAAATGCAAGGATTTAATGGGAACAATGTAGACATTTAAAAATAAGAACTTGTTAGATTAGGATGGAAGTAGCAGTATTTTCCCTGATCAAATGAAAGACCTGACTACGTGCATATAGCTACACAGTTATAGGTGGATTATTTCATGTTTTATATAATTTGAGGGGGCAAAATACAGTCTTGAGTTTCGCAAGATAGTGTGGTATATCTAAGGGAATTGGGTGTATCCACCCTTACTGCACTTGGTGTAATTTAATGCATTACAATGGAATAAAGTAATTATAGTGAGTCAGCTGATGGCCAAAGGTTAGAAAAATTCACTTGATGGCATCTTAAATTAAATCAAACCAAGGTTCTTTTAAAAGGTATTTTAGTTCCAACAGGTGGGGCTGCAATCAAAATTATTTTAAAATCATGATCTTAAATTAATTCAGTGCATTTCCTAAAACTTCTTTCATGGGGAAATGACCCTACAGACAATTCTGTTCAATTTCTGGTATTTCCTAAGTGCACTTTTCATCTTTTGCAGGAAAACACATAATTCTTCTCCCCTACCTTTCCTCCCAAAAGCAACAAACAAAAACAAAACAAAAAAGCAACAGCTCCTCCTCCCCCCAAAAAAACCAGAACCCTGCCTCTGGTGTGTGTTCCATAATAGCCATTCTATTTATAAAAGCTCACTTAACTATCCTGTTCCACTAATTTAAAAAGTTGTTATTATTGCCTTGTCTGTTTTCAAAAGATGTAAAAACTTAGGCAGAGGGTCCAGTAACATAAAGAGGATGAGTGTCGCGGCCAATTAGAATTCAGGAATTCCTTCTACTCAGTTATGTGCTCAGACCACACCTTGTTGTAAACAACATTTATATATAATGTCTCTGAAAGGGACAACATTTTATAACATGTAGCTATAAAATATCAGAAGTGTTAGCCTATATCTTTAAAAACAAGTACTCCTGTGGCACATTAGAGACTAACAAAAATACATGTATAATACCATGAGCTTTTGTGGGCAAAATCCACTTCTTCTAAGCATATGCCTTATAATTTTTAGTCCAGTGGTTAGATCACTTGCCTGACATCTTTCACATTCAAGGTAGAGGGGCCTCTTAATACCTCTGAGGTCACAGTACAGGAAGAGGTCATTAGTGAGTTATATACTGTTGTAATCCAGCATCTTGAATGGTCCCCACAGCCAGAGCCGGACCGAGCCATTCTGGCGCCCCGGGTTAGGGGAGGGCACATGCATGGACCTGCCCATACGCCAGCGCATGGGGGAGGGCACGCGGAGCTGGTGGAGGCAGGACACATGTGCCCGGCCTGGCCCAGCCCGACTACTGCTGCTGGTGCGCAGCCCAGGGTTGCCTGGGGCAGGTCGAGCCTGGCCGTGCAGGGCCCCGCGGCCGCGGGGGGAAGGGTGCTGCTGGCCGGCGCTGCAGGAGTTAACGTGGCCCCTGCCCTGGGCGGCTGCTGCAAGATTGCCGCTGGGAGCTGCTATAGCCCCGGGGCCGGGTGTGCAGCGCCTGATGGCAGCTGTAAGGGGCTCTGCGCTCCCATTACAGCTGCCATCAGGCCCCCCCCCCTAGGTTGGCGCCCCAGGCAGCTGCCCGGCTAGCCCATGCCTTAATCTGGCCCTGCCCACAGTATGTACTATCTGTTTATGCTAAACAATTAGTATTGTATTACAGCTCAGCCACAGTATTGTATGATGTGAGCAGTGTAATTGTTCTATATCAGTGGAGGAGAGCTTTCTCCATGATTAAAAAAAGATTGAGAAGTGATAGCTTTAATGGTGGGAGCCGCACTCTCTATATTAGAGCTTTTCAGGACTAAAACTTTTGTCACTCAGGGGGTTTCTTTTACACCCCTGAATGACTAAAGTTTTAATGCTGAGAGTGTCAGAGTAGACACAGCCAATCTATTCCACTCACCGTATTTCTATAGTATCCTGGAATCTGTAGCCACCCTGAATTAATACCTGATGTTGCATTTTCACCTATCTTTAGGAGAAAACGTATAGAGGCATATCGTGCCATTATTTCTCAGTCAGAACTCCCGTATGCAGCCAGTTGACGATATGCTTTACAGATTGATGGTGTGATCCTTTCCAGATGGGATAATTTCAAATTCTAGTTTTATCACCTGAATTTTCTTTTATTGCAATATAAGAATTTTCCTTTTTCGTAATAGGAAGTATTCTCACAGTAATGAGAAACAGTGAAGAAAGGAGCAATGTAGCGGTATCATTTTATCATACTTTTGGACTGATTTGCAATATAATACAACAACACTCAAAGACAAAGAAACAGTGGTGTCCCAATCTCAAATGCCACCGAAAGAAGGTATTTCTGCTTTCAAAATCCTACCATTTCCTTAAATATCTCTGATAATGTGCTCTGCTCTCTCTTACATGTGCTGCTTTCACTCTGAAAAGACAAGGGATGCTGTGTCAGCAAACCGAGTGCAATGTAAACAAAAAATGTAATAAAATATATCCTAGAATTCATAATCAAGGTTTAGACATTAAGAACCCAGGGGCAAGGTTTTGACCAAATGAGCTGTACAAGAAATAAAAGATTAGCTGTAACTTCCACTGCAGAGAGAGAGAGACCGTTAGCAAAGGGATTATTTGTGGACTCTGTGCCCTGGTCTACACCAGGGAGTTGTTTCGAAATAACCCCTCTTATTTCGAAATAATAAGCAAAGAATCCACATTACATTATTTTGAAATAACTGGTTGGTTATTTCAGAATCTGTACTCCTTCTTTCCTTGGAGAATAACATTTATTTTGAAATAGTTATAGCATTAATGTGGACACTCCGCTGCTGCTATTTCACAATAACTACTTCCCAGAGTAATTTGAGATAATTACTCCTCCAGTGTTTCCTGGGGCTCTAAGTTGAGGTGGCGCGTCCACATTAACAGAGCCTGCCTTGGACTAATTTTGAGGCTCCCCCATAGTGGGGGCACCCTATTTCAATTTTGTTATTTTGAGAGTTATTATTTCAAATTTAGTTGTTTTGAAATAATTTCCTAGTGTAGACATACCCTGTGTGGCCAGATCCTGTTCTCTGCTACTTTTACTTCAAATGAATTATTCCTGATTTCTATGAAAGTAACTAGGAACAGAGGGTATGTCTACACTACCCCGCTAGTTCGAACTAGCGGGGTAATGTAGGCATACCGCACTTGCAAATGAAGCCCGGGATTTGAATTTCCCGGGCTTCCTTTGCATAAGCGGGGAGCCGACAGTTTTAAAACCCCGCTGGTTCGAAACCCGTGCAGCGCAGCTACACAGGGCACGAACTAGGTAGTTCGAACTAGGCTTCCTAGTTCGAACTACCGTTACACGAGGAGTAACGGGGCATACCGCACTTGCAAATGAAGCCCGGGATTTGAATTTGGAATGAGGAGTAATGGTAGTTCGAACTAGGAAGCCTAGTTCGAACTACCTAGTTCGTGCCCCGTGCAGCTGTGCTGCACGGGTTTCGAACCAGCGGGGTTTTAAAAATGGCGGCTCCCCGCTTATGCAAACGAAGCCCGGGAAATTCAAATCCCGCGCTTCATTTACAAGTGAGGTATGCCTACATTACCCTCCTAGTTCGAACTAGGAGGATAGTGTAGACATACCCAGAATTTTTATTAGGCTTTCATATTAGGTAAATATATAGGCAAATAAGTCACAAATCATAAATCGTCAGAAAACACATGTTGACTGTCACATAAAAAATTAGCCTACATTTCATGCTTTTTATTGCTCATTAAGCAATTTTAATAAATATGCTAGGGTCAGAAATGTTGACTGAATGTTGCGTAAGCATGGAATATTAATTTGAGCATTACAAAATTAGATATGTAACTTTTTAATTTTAGACCTGCATCATCCATATTCTATTATTAATGTTAACAGATCACATGAACTTGTGGGAAGGGAGTGGGGAATACTGTTTTACAGATCACTTTGTAGCTGTATAGATGCAAACACCTGGAATCCAATATAGTGCCAAAATATCTACTTTCTCAGTCACTGTTTCTAAAACTGGCCCAAAGTAGATGTCTCTGATCTAGTTTTCCGGGTTCCAGGAGAGCATATCAATAAGTATAACTATTAATGTCCTATTTACTGTAATGGAAGAAAGCCTAATTAGTAATTAGACAAAAATGGAATGATTGTGCTATTCTTTTATTATGGTGATTTTGAATGATGTTTAGGCAATACACTTTACTCAGTTCTACAAAGTGCACTAGAAATATTATATATTCCATTATCAAAAAGCCTAAAAGTTATTCTTTTAAGATAAACCCAATGGGAAGTATATATGAGGAGGCAACACGGCTCAACATACAGGAAATCAAGAGACCTGATTTACAGTCTCTTATATAGCTTTACCTTTTACTTGTGTGACTTTAATAAGTTACTTTTCCCCTCAATACCTAAATTTCTAAATCTTGAGACCAGTGTGCTGCATAGAGGCTGAGTATAGTCATTAATGTTCTGAATCCTCCTGCCCACTTCTTTCTACCTCTAACATGCCCATTTCTGCCCCCTGTGCCGGTGGCTGCAGGGGGAGTGGTGCAAAGAGTTGATTCTACTGGCACTGCAACCACTGAGTACTTCCCCACAACAGGGCAATCTTCAGATAGCGCAAGGGCAGGCAAAATGTGGCCAGAGGGCCTCATCCAGACTGCCTAGCTGCTGGATCTGGCTCACAGCCCAGTGGGAGCCCCAGCCAAGCTCCCTGCCTGTCCCGTCCCCCCCCCCCCCCCCCCCACCCACCACATCTGAATGCTGTGATCCTGGGGGCAGAGGCTTCGTGCACTGCCCCTGCCCCCGGCACAATCTTGCAGCTCCCAGTGGCTGGTTTCTGGCCAATGGGATCTGCCTGTTTGAAAAACAGGCAGTGTGCGAAATACTCCTTCATGTCCCCTAGGGTTCGCAGCCTTCAGAGAAGCACACGTGGCCTCTGCAGTGAGCTACGATGAGCAGCCTGCGGAGGCGTGAAAGGCAGAGAGCTTGACAGAGGAACCTGTTGGGCTGCTGGCTGGGAGATGCCAAGGTAAGCATCCCCCAGCCAGAGACTGCCTCTGGCACCCCAGCCCATTCCTCCCCCATCTGTCTGCTCCTCCTCCTGCACTCCTACTCCACCTAACCCAAACCCTCTGTATCCCCACTCCTGCAGCCATACTCCCTCCCAGACCCTGCACCTCAGTCTCCTACCCCTGGTCACAGGGCCCTCCTTCACTCAGACTCCCTCCCAGAACCCACACCCCTTATTGCACCCCAATACCTTACCTCAAATTTCTTTCTGAACTCAACCTCCATGCCAGATCCCACATCTCCATTAAAATCATGGAAGAGTGTGGCCCTCAATCACTTACCTAATTCTTTGAGTGGTCCCACCATCAAAAATTATTGCCCATCCCCTGAGCTAGAGAGATGCAGCCAATCTACCTTTCTTTTGGATCACATGAGCAGCTAAGGTAGTGAAGAAGAATGGAGAATCTGTCTCATTCTTCAGTGTAAATATTTGAGAAAAGTAATTGACTGAAAGGAGAGGTATGTCTAGAACAGAGACAGGCTGAGATTTAGGGAGCGTTGGAATGTGGAGCAGCTGAAAGGAATCCCAAATCAGACTGATAGCAGGAATTCCCAAGAAAAGTGAGCTCTCATTTTCCATATTTGAAAATTTGAGTGTGCAATTGGTTTTTTTTTTAACAAATATTTTGTTTTTAACATAGTTGTCTGGACCTTGTCTTCCCATCTTTTAAATACTTGTATGTGTGGGACAGATTACAGAGTCAGATGCTTTCTGCCAATAATCCCATAATCTCCAAACAAGTGTAACACAAAATAGTTATAGTGATAGAAATGTAGTTGTGTTAGTCTGGTGTAGCTGAAACAAAAAACAGGACTACGTAGCACTTTAAAGACTAGCAAGATGGTTTAACAGGTGATGAGCTTTCGTGAGCCAGACCCACTTCCTCAGATTTGATCAAATCTGAGGACAGCTCCCAGTGGCTGGGTTCTGGCCAATGGGATCTGCCTGTTTGAAAAACAGGCAGTGTGCGAAATACTCCTTCATGTCCCCTAGGGTTCGCAGCCTTCAGAGAAGCACACGTGGCCTCTGCAGTGAGCTACGATGAGCAGCCTGCGGAGGCGTGAAAGGCAGAGAGCTTGACAGAGGAACCTGTTGGGCTGCTGGCTGGGAGATGCCAAGGTAAGCATCCCCCAGCCAGAGACTGCCTCTGGCACCCCAGCCCATTCCTCCCCCATCTGTCTGCTCCTCCTCCTGCACTCCTACTCCACCTAACCCAAACCCTCTGTATCCCCACTCCTGCAGCCATACTCCCTCCCAGACCCTGCACCTCAGTCTCCTACCCCTGGTCACAGGGCCCTCCTTAAATGTGATTCCTTCCATTACTTCAAAGGCCTTTGAATCAGGCTGTCTGGCAACTATAGTGGCAGGGGAAACATGATCAATTTGGGGATTTTATTGCTATGTAACTTGAACAACAAGTAATCTAATAAATAGTAACCATAACACAGTGTGTTTCTGGAGAGCTTATTGATTCCACTGCATTGTACACATACTGACTATTAATTTCTGTTAATCATTTGAGAAAGGCCACAAGTGCCATTAAAACACAATCTTTGCAGTTCTACAGCATCTTCTATTCCAAAAACAGGAACATTTTGTGATTAATGCTGGAATTAGTAGGGAAGGAAATTTTAGTGGTGCCTATTAAACAAGTACAATAAAACAATAAGTGGGTGCATTCATTTTTTAAAATATGTATTATATGTGAATTAGGTTCCACTGGTTAGTTGTAGGAACAGACAACTTAGTCACAGAGTCTGTCACTTTCTAGTTTTCAAGCTTTTACAATTCAATTCTAATACAATGTTTATTAGTGGGGAAGTGTGTTCTGAAAGGTTGTTATTTTTTTTAATGCTGCCCCTCAGTGGTCTCCCTTGTTTACACAGCTCTAAAGATTTTAGAAACCTCATAACTATTTTGTAACAAAAAACAGGACTACGTAGCACTTTAAAGACTAGCAAGATGGTTTAACAGGTGATGAGCTTTCGTGAGCCAGACCCACTTCCTCAGATTTGATCAAATCTGAGGAAGTGGGTCTGGCTCACGAAAGCTCATCACCTGTTAAACCATCTTGCTAGTCTTTAAAGTGCTACGTAGTCCTGTTTTTTGTTACAAAATAGTTATGAGGTTTCTAAAATCTTTAGAGCTGTGTAAACAAGGGAGACCACTGAGGGGCAGCATTAAAAAAAATAACAACCTTTCAGAACACACTTCCCCACTAATAAACATTGTATTAGAATTGAATTGTAAAAGCTTGAAAACTAGAAAGTGACAGACTCTGTGACTAAGTTGTCTGTTCCTACAACTAACCAGTGGAACCTAATTCACATATAATACATATTTTAAAAAATGAATGCACCCACTTATTGTTTTATTGTACTTGTTTAATAGGCACCACTAAAATTTCCTTCCCTACTAATTCCAGCATTAATCACAAAATGTTCCTGTTTTTGGAATAGAAGATGCTGTAGAACTGCAAAGATTGTGTTTTAATGGCACTTGTGGCCTTTCTCAAATGATTAACAGAAATTAATAGTCAGTATGTGTACAATGCAGTGGAATCAATAAGCTCTCCAGAAACACACTGTGTTATGGTTACTATTTATTAGATTACTTGTTGTTCAAGTTACATAGCAATAAAATCCCCAAATTGATCATGTTTCCCCTGCCACTATAGTTGCCAGACAGCCTGATTCAAAGGCCTTTGAAGTAATGGAAGGAATCACATTTACTTCAGTGGCCTTTAAACCAAATATAGAAAGATGATTACCACAAATGGTATTTTAAGAGAGTACAGGCCACAATTTGTTCACCTCTGTCTAAAGGAATTTTTCCCTCTGTCTGTTTCTTTTTTTTTCTTCCCTTCTTTTGTTATTATTTATAGAGCACAAAAAGTGAGCTAAATTATTAATAAAACGAATAGGAGGACAAGGGCATACTCTGAGGAGCTTACACTCTAGAAACCCTGGAATCTTTTATTCCTTTTCAGCCCTCTTAGCATCAGGCACCACAGCACATACATACAAATATTCCTAAATAATACTCTTTGCTGTTAAAATTTATTGCAGGTAAAGCTCATAACTTTGGATAAAAAATGCTGCCTAAATGCTAAGTGCTATTGTTATTCATACTGTACACCCTCCCCCAGATCTGAACCCTGACCTAAATCCCTGGATCCAAACAACCTCAAACTTTGGAGCAGTTAATAAAAGGAATTAAGAATAATATTTACAATAGTAATGACTACTAGATGAGAGTCTGTTCACTTGAAATTCATGCAGGTGAGGGGGCAGCACTGGGAGAAAAGAATTCCAGGATAAAATATGGGTAGTCAATTAATCTGGATACGTTATGCTGTTTGCATTAAATAGGGAGTGAGGGCCACCCTCCGAAAAGATAAACTGGAGAATGGCAGCTGAGAGGGATGCCTTATGGGAAGAACTTGCAGTGCATTAGGAAGAAAGGGGGTTATTTGTGGGAGAGACTATGTATTTGTTGAAGCACACTGGCTTGAAGAACTTCATAGAGTAAGGCAAATCATCCCCAGGCAGATGGAAAAAATGAATCTTTGGAAATGGATAGAAGCTGCCCTCGAGATGGGCAAGTCTCTAGGTGATAGGGGCTCTGTTTCCAGCTCTGACCTGGGGCTGGGTTTCTCCTTTCTTCCATTGGCCAGCTGCCTGAGAACAGGGCCTGCTTGGAACTCTAAGGATAGGCTGATTATTAGACTGAAAGGACTGGTAGGAGCAGTGCTCTTCTGGAAGATGCCCTAGAAACAGAGGAAAAGGCCTGAGAGGAAGCTGTGAGGGTGGCAGGATAAAGCTAGCAAAGATCCAAGGAAGAGACCTAGAGGTGAGCTACAGAAGGCCCCTGGAAAACTGTTTGTGCATCAGGGAGCAAGAGGAGGAGGCCTGTGCAGAGACAAGAACTGTTGGAAATGTCCCTGGGAAATAGTGTAGCAAACCAGGCTTCAGGGTAAGAATGCCCTGGGGCCCAGAGGAAATGAGGTTTATGTCCGCAACCATTCTGGTGCTCCCTGCAAGGGTGATGCAGAAACCACCTCCCCCCAGAAAACATTAAAAAAGGGCCTGCTTGTTTTCTGCTTAGACTCGAGGGCTGTGTCTACACTGGGCCACTTATTCCGGAAAATCAGCCACTTTTCCGGAATAAGCTGCGAGCTGTCTACACTGGACCTTGAATTTCCGGAAAAGCAACGATGCTCTACTGTACAAAATCAGCCGCTATTCCGGAAAAACTATTCTGCTCCTGCTCGGGCATAAGTCCTTATTCCGGAACACTGTTCCGGAAAAGGGCCAGTATAGACAGCCCAGTAGTCTTTTCCGGAAAAAAGCCCCGATCGCAAAAATGGCAGTCGGGGCTCTTTTCCGGAAAAGCGCGTATACATTGGCCACAGACGCTTTTCCGGAAAAGGGCTTTTCCAGAAAAGCAGCCTGCCAATGTAGACGCTCCTTTTCCAGAAAAACTGAAAACGGAATAGTATTCCGTTTTAAGCAGTTCCGGAAATTCATGCCAGTGTAGACACAGCCTTCTTGTTTGCCTTCCAAGAAAATAACTTTTGGTTTGGCTGAAGGGCTAAAGCCACGACAAACTTTAAATCAATGGCCTAGCTCAGGAAAAACACTCTTCAGTGGGGGAACCCATCACATGTATAGGGACATCAGAGAGGTAAGCCTGAACTCTCAGTCACTCCCGTCCTCTGGAGTATAGAGGAGCAGGACCTGGAACATACAGTAGGTACTATGCAGTATCGTAGCCAATGAGGTTAATCCGAGGCACGATTGTTGCCATTGAAAACTTTTCCTATACTTACTGCTGCTGAATGGAGAAAGTGAGTGGAGCACCATCTGTGGTCCAGACTGTGTAACTGCAGCAGCTGCTTTGATGCCGCCTAACTGCTGCCACGAAGGTTACATACATGAAGTCAGAGCTTTTCAAACTGCGTGGTGCATCCCAATGGGGGTTGGGGAGTGTAGAGGAACATGAGGGGAGAAGTTTGGACCAACCCTGCATGGCAGAGATTGGGGAGGGAGTGCCATCTGTACCCCCGACTCACCAAACCAGGCCATCCACTCTATAAGTTAGTGTCAGCATCTCTGCTTCCTCTCCAGAAACCATCATATGCAACTTCCCCAACCCTGAAAACTTGAGGTGGGGGGGGGGGCAGGAGTTGGGTTGTGGAATCAAAAAAATGTAACTCAAAGAGGGGCAGGTTCAGTTCAAAATTTTTAAAACCGCCGCACCAAGATCATGCCTTTAAGGTTTTCTCCTCAATTGTAATGTCTTGAAACTTTTTCGTTTTAAATGAAAGTTTAGATTCTGCAGAAATGAGAGCATTGTTGCTTGGGCACGATTCCTACTTGCTTGGATGAGCAGGATATGACAAGGATATGATTAAATCATGTGCTGTAAATGACACAATGTGGTTC